TATTGCATCACTCAGCCCTCTGTGAATAGCAAGGGGCCTTCAGGGCACTAACAATCGAGTGTTAGGCTGATGGTCCTCCTCTTAAATAGTTTAGGCTGTCATCAGCAAACTGGTTGGTCCACTATGAGAAGGTGCTGCTCATAAGACACGCTGTCAGCTCCTCAGACTCGAGACGTCTTTTGGATAAAAGACGAAACATTTCAACAAAGAAGAATCTGTCCAGAGGACCTGACTCAACATTTTCAACCTTGATTTATCTACCTGGATTATTGAGCATGCATCAGGATAAGATGAGGTGTGTTTGTGATTGGAAACATGAGCAGAGAGGAGGTGGGGTTTGCTAGTTTGATTGGATTTTCTAATGATATGTGGGTGTCAAACTCACTTTCCAAAAGGAGCCTAAATTTAAAAACTTTGTCCGAGTCACAGGCCACTTTCAGCTGGTACATTAACTCGAGTCAGATACCTGATGTTTTTTCTTGGTTGCAGGTTCATAAACAAAAGTTCGATCTGTCTCACTTGATGTTCTGTTGCTCTTTCCATATCAGAATCAATAATGACAGAATGATGCAACCATCTTTCTGGCTTCAAAATTAGCCAGCTGCCAAGAGAAGTCTTTACTAAATGATGTATCTATCATTTTTTTAAGAAAAAAGAAGATATACAATATTTTACATTTAAATTATCATCTAAAAAAATAATTTTAAAAATTATCATCTTGGGAGACCAGATTTTGCCAGCGTGTCTTGAGTTTGACATATGTCAATCATCGTATGAAAACGGCAATTACCGGTATATATCTGGCAACACTTCCGCTGGATGTTACGCTCCGCCCTATCCCGCCGCGTAACTTCTGATTGGCTATCACCGTAGCGTCTCTCTCTACGTGCTTACGTACGCTTTTCCCACGATGCAACGTTCGAGTAAAGATGGCAGAAGGAGGAGCGGCTGATCTCGATACTCAGAGAGGAGAGGTCGTGGCATTGTTGAAAACTCAGTTAAGAAAAGGAGACACTTGGTAAGACTTGAACTGAAATCTTTTTATAAATGCTCTGCTGCTGCTGGCTGTCTTTGCCGGGGCTGACAGCGCCCAAAATGTTAGGAAAAGCCGAGGCGACCGGCCGTGTTGACAGTGTCTGAGGTAGCTAACGAGAGCTTGTCGGCTTCAGCTAGCGCTGGTTGCTATTCCTAAATGAATAACCCCTTTCGAAACGATAGACTCTAGTTGTACTGAGCATTTCTGTATCACTAGTTGGCTTTTTATGCGATAACATGAGCTCAGCGAGACTACGTTCTCATTTGGCTAAGTAGCAAGCTAACATCTAGTCCGTTAGCAACCGTTGATTAGTGGATTCGCCCGTTGACTTTATTTGGGTGGAGTCGAAATAAATTAAAAAAATCTGTCAATCTCTAAGCCAGCTGGCTGGGCTTGTAACAGCCTGAACTCTACTCGGTGACTGCATCTCTGCCATACTGGTCTCTGTTTGTCTGTCGGAGTCCAGTTTGTTTCCAGTAACCGCACGACTGCTGACAAAATCGCTTTTTATTTCGTTTACTCCAGGTTCTTGGTGGACAGTCGCTGGTTCAAACAGTGGAAGAAATATGTGGGTTATGATAGCTGGGACAAATACCAGATGGGGGACCAGAATGTCTACCCAGGACCGGTGGACAACTCCGGCCTTCTCAAAGGTAGGACAAGAAGACAGACTGAGTAGCTTCAAAATGATACCAAACACATGAATGGGTAAAAAAAAAACAGGAAAGTTAAAATGGTTTAAAACCAGTGAATGACATCCTGTATTACGATGGAACAGTGTGAGAAGTTGTCACATTAAACTGTCATCATGTCTGCTGTTTTTTTTAAACTGTTGCCACAAAACTTTCAATCCTGCTCCAACTTTTTCAGTAATTAAAAGTGATAAGAATAGTATTAGAAGCATGTATTTTTATTAACTAGTAATAAGGGTTTTTACACCCTATAATATGTTTGTTGATAGCACAACAATGTTCATAAACTAATTAAGTACTTAATTGCGCAATAAATATTTACTATTAGTTTATGTGAATGTGAGCATGTGCATAAGGGAATGTAAATGTAACATGGATACATTTGTATTTTATTTATTACATACATTCAAATACAGGGATTAAACAATTGTAAATATTTAAATGGACAGGGTTAGGATCACATCAATTCTTCTTCCTCTTTTTCGGCTGCCGGACTGCTTTTAGGAAATCCTGTTTATTTTGTGTGGATTATAGACAGAATTATGACATATAAATGTATTTGTAAATATTTACAGTTTAAAAACTAATAATAAACTAAACTAATGGTCTTTTAGGCTATTTAAAAGTTCCTTTGCATCTTCAGTTTTAATTTGCTTGAAGGAATCTTCCCAAGGGATCAATAAAGTTTTATCTGATCTAATGAAGTATGAACTTCTTGCATTTTTTCTGATCATTGTGGATTGTACCACCATTCCAACTTAACCGATTTAAAAATGAGGCCTTTCAGGAAGAGAAAACATATTCAGGAGTTGGAACCATATCGACAGACTCATCACTGTTTGTAACAAACCTACCTTTGGAAATAGATGATTATTTTAGGCTTGTCTCTGTTATTTTATTTATTGCTTAGGCTTGTTTGAATTGCTAATATTTACCTTTATTAAATGTTTGGATAAAACTACCAGCAACTGTCAGGTTTTCATTGTTTGCCTTCGGGGGGTTAAATTTTAATATTTTATTGACTGAATTGCAGTGCGGCTCTTTTGAGATTAATGTGAAAGGTTTATTTGCTAAATCGGGACAACAGCATTACTTCAGTCACGTTTTGGTTTTAATTCTAAAAGCTAATTAGAAGTTATTTTCCTTCAAACACTACTAATCCAAAATGAACACTGGCATAAAATTAACTGCAGATGTTGTAAATTTGTCACAGTGTCTGCATAGTTTCATGTTTCTGGAAGTACTAACAAAGAGTAAAAGATGGACACAATAACAATATTGTCTAAAGCTGTATAGGCTTCACAGAAAGCTCTCCAACATACCTTTATTTTTCTTTGTGTGTTTTGTTTTGTGTGAGACAGCCCACTACGAGTGATGGATTTGCCTTCTTTTCCACATCTGCCTGTGTGTTTCTCACCCCCTCCTTCCCTTTGTCCTCCCCTCTCTAGATGGGGACGTGTTGGCCATCAAGGAGCACCTCATCGATGAGCTCGACTACATCCTGGTCCCAACAGAAAGCTGGAATAAGCTTGTCAGCTGGTATGGGCTGACAGAAGGCCAGGAACCGATCGCACGCAAGGTAAAACCAAAAAAACGCATTGTGTGGGTTGTGACTAATTGCTGGTCTGTGCTTTAATGGTTTGAATGAATTAACTTGGAACTAAGTCTCTCGAGTCGACAGAGTAGTATTCGCTGGTCAAGAATGGGCTTTGTACAGAATCAGGATTTTTACAAGATGGTTCTTACATTCTGAATGTAGGCCAGGCATGAAAACAAAGTAATTTTTTCAAGTTTATTCAAGTTTTGGATATAAAATTGATATTAGGTGATTTTACAGATACTATTCGTGATGGTGCCCACAGATTTAAGTTCTCCATTTCAAATTTTGCAAATCATGGCAGCTAGAAGAGGGTCCTCCCCTGTCGCCTCCATCATCCTCCCTTTCTCTTCCTCCCAGTTGACCCTCCCCCTTTTGCCATGTATGTTGTGGCACGTATCGGGTGGCAGCAGGGGTTTCTATTTTCAGGCAATGTTCTGGCTGACTGTGAAGCAACATGGAGGGGTCTACAAGGCACAACTTGCAAGAGGTTCATTATTAGTTTTCTTCTTTTTTGCATTTATTTTGTCATCTTGTGCTGCAGGAATGCACAGGTGGTTGAAAAGGATACAGGAGTGCTGTTGTCAATAGTTTAGAGCTTTGGTTTCTTTGGGTGTAGCAGCTAATACCGGTGGAGCGCTCCTGGCTGCGTCCTTTTTTTTTTTTTTAAGTGGAGGCATTCCTGTTGAGGTCACTCTGGGAGTAGCAGCGTAAAAAGCTTTTGAGAGGAGAGGCATAATCAGCATGGGAGGAGGAATGGGGTGGGTGTGGAAAATGGTTTTTCCTGGGCTCTAATTTGAGGAATTCTGTGTTAGAGTCCGGTTCTCGAGTTTTGCTCTGAGCTTCTCTGAGGAGTCGGGGAGCACTGGAGGAGGACTTAGCTGTGCGTGCCCGACTGTTGCAGTTGTCAGTGTTGTTTGTGAAATCGGTGCTGTACGTGCATGTGTACGAGTGCGCTGGAGGGGCTCAGCGGTGAAATAAATAGGCTCGGACCCCTCAGCTGTTTCCGTGATGTGCTGCTATATTAAGAACGTCACTCTGACTGAATCTGTCAGAAGACTTGATGAGCAGCAGCCAGGGCAGCAGAGTTTAGTTTATTTATTAGTTTAGTTCATATAAAACTGCCACTAGACTAATAAACTTTTTTTTTTTCATTTGAGCAATAGTTTTTATTTATTTTATTTGGGTTATTTTAGCTCTGGAGTCCTTCATTGCAGTGATGACAACCTGATTGTTTACTGGTTGTGTTGTCCTGGTATAACAAACAGCAGGAAGCATTTTACTTTTTCATTTGAAGAGTTGTTACATGGAAAGATGGAGCTCAGAAAGGTTCCAAAATGAAACTGATGTAGACAAATAAAGACTGTTTTATTTATTTATTAAATTATTTGCAGGTTGTGGAGCAGGGTATGTTCGTGAAGCACTGCAAGGTGGAAGTGTACCCGACGGAGCTGAAGCTTTGTGAAGACAGCAACATGGACAACATGATCACCAGGCGCTTCAGTAAAGCTGACACGATAGGTAACCATCAGCCTCTCTGCAGAAACCAGTGTTCGTGATTCGGTTTGAACCTTTTATTCTGTAAATTTCTGCTATTACAAGTTGACTTCTTTATAGGTTTGTTTTTTTTTGATAACCAACCAGGCCTACAACTTTGAAAATAAAGTGGAAGACATGAGATAAAGGACTGACAATAGGACTGTATATACCACCATTCACTGTTTCCTTTTAATATTGACTAATTTCTTAGATCATGTCGGAGACAAATGGCGCCATATCATGATGTTGCTGCCACCATGCTTATACCGTATGTGTATTCTTGGTGGGATGGGTTTTACGTTTTATTCGATGGCCAGATTTTTAATTTTAGTCACTTTTGACCAGAGAACAATATTTTTAAGGAGTCTTTATTCCTAAAGGGATTGTATTCAAAGGGAGAGCATCCACCTTTAGGGTTCCCATCAGCCTCTTTCTTTTCATTTATCAGTGGCACATTTATTTTTGGTATTCGTTTTGAATACTTTTTAAATATCAACACTGTTCGAAGATCTCTAGTATTTATTTTGTTTCTTGAATATTTGTAACTTGTTCTAATTTTAGTCAAAAATAAACTTTGTTATACAATGATTACAAAAAACATACATAAACTGCATGTTTTCATGCAACATAATAGGAAACATGACAAGGAAGGTAAATTTTATTTCATGGTAGATTAGAAACAAACTTTAAGACATTTTGCAACACATGAGCCTTATTTAAATAAAAATGGATGGATTATTTCCGTGTATTAAACAGTGCTTGTGGTCGTTTCTTGTATTTTTAAACTTGGTTATTACTATGTGTGTGAATTCCTTGTGTACTCATGTCAAATATAAATGTTTATCATTTTAATGTTGCTGCAGATATGATAGAGAAAGAAATGAGGAAACTGTTCAGCATCTCTGATGACAAGGACACCAGACTGTGGAACAGGTACATGAGCAACACCTTCGAGCCTCTCAACAAACCTGACAGCACCATTCAAGACGCCGGCCTCTATCAAGGACAGGTCAGAACTTACCCAGTTTGATTTTTCATTTAACTGCTCTTTTTATTTTGTACATTTTAATAAAGATAATCCATTATGGCTTAATACTGATTGTTCCTGAGCTTGGCAAAATATGGTCCCGTTTTAATGGTTTCCATATTTTTCTAGAGTATGTGGCATTTCAACCTCAATGTCTGTTCAAAACATTCTTTTTCCTACTTTAACTCTGGGTTGTGATGGGTGTCATGATCAGCACAGACCGTTTCTAACATTGAAGCTTGTTGAAACAACTCAAACCTGGACTGAAATTGTCCAAACCACTCGTACAAAATATAAAATAAAATGATATTTATTATTTAAATAATGTCTGGATTATTTGGTGAGTTGAATTATCTAAAAGTCAGGCTACATATAGCTTAAACACAATACATTGGATGACTCTTGAGTACCGGCTACTGAAATTCAAATGCATTGAATGAGCACATTTGTGCCGCCATCTTGGTAGGTGCTACACGAGCAAACTTAGTTGCTGCCAGACAAAAGACCGCGAATTTATGAAGAGGAAAAAAACTAAACTCTGCAAAAGAAAGTCTCAAAGTTTTGCTAAGAAAAAAAATAAAAAACATAACTTGAACTTAAACAAAGTGGTATTAAATATTTTGTTAATGCTTGTCTAATGTATATTAATATAACTAGGGTTGTTACTCTTTATAAACTACTCTGCTATAATTACTGTAAAGCAGAGTAATGGATGTAGTTGTATATTAGATATCTGAAAATATATAATTGATATTAGTAACCTTTTTTTAAATAACTGCCATTAGTCTACAAATCTTGTGAACTTGTGCATAAAATATCTGCTAAAAATATTAAATCTGTGTATAGGTTGGAAAAAAACTCACCCATTTCTGAATACTAAAGTGCATGTTATTCAAAGTTTAAATATTTCCTAAATTCTCAGGAAAAACATTATATTACACAAGTTTACGTTGTTAGTCTTAAGGGAGCGTAACTACAGCGCTCCTGATAGTCAAAGCAGACATGCAATTCATTTCTGTTCAGTTCAGTCTATTTATACAGCGCCAAGTCACAACAGAAGTCGTCTCAGGACACTGAACAGAAACATCCATATATAAAAATAATAATTTAACATTATTTATCTGAGAGCTGGCGGCTTTGAATTTATAGTAACTCCATCACAGAACTCTCTTCTTGAGCAAGCATGAAGGCGACAGTGGAAAGGAAAAACTCCTTTAAGAGGAAGAAACCTTTAGCAGAACCAGGCTCAGGACAAGTGGCCATCTGCTTCGACCAGCTGGGTTTGAGAGGAACAGATACACAATGGCAGGTCAAGAATCACATGTTAAGATAGAAATAGTATCAAATGAAAACTATTCAATTTTAACAATTCATTTTAAGAAATGAGGTCAATTTGTCCTCCATTAGTCTAAACTTAAGGCACCATAACAAGCCAACTCTAACTATAGGATTTATCAAAATGGAAAGTCTTGAGCCCAGTCTTAAACTGGACAATGTGTCAGTCCTACAGACGGAAACTGGAAGTTGATTCCACAAGAGAGGAGCCTGATAACTGAAAGATCTTCCTCCCGTTCTGCTTTTGGAAACTCCTGCAGTCTGAGATCGAAGTGCTCTGTTAGGAAAATATGGAACAACAAGATCTGTAATATAAGATGGAGCTAGGTTGTTGAGGGCTTTGTAGGTTAGAAGTAAGATTTTGAATTAAATTCTGGATTTGACAGGGAGCCAGTGGAGAGAAGCTAAAACTGGAGAGATAAAATCTCTCCCACTAACTCCAGTTAAAGACTTTGGCAGCAGCATTTTGGATCAACTGAAGACTTTTTAAAGAAGTATTTGGACACCCAGATAATAAACCATCGCAATAGTCCAGTCTAGACGTGACAAATGCATGAACCAGTTTTTCTGCATCATTTTTAGATGTTTCTAATTGTAGCGACATTACGCAGGTGGAAGAAGGCGGTTCTATTAACGTTAACCATTTTACTTAAATATATATTACTTAAATATATATTACTTAAATAAAAGTCCAGATATGTACGGATCTATCTAGAATGATGTAGTTGTGGGTTGTGATATTATGCCCGTTCAGAGTTTTTATACCAATATTTGTTTAAAAATGTGCCAAGTGCCAAAATTGTACACGCATTTAAATCTGAAATATGATTTGAATAACTTAATTGCATTCCCTCCCCAAATTTTTAAATAAATAGAGGTAAATAAATAAATCAAGCCTTTTTTTTGTACAACAACCCAGCGTTTCGTTTCTTCAAAGCAGCAGAAGCAGATGGAGTCCTCTTTTCTTTCTCCCGTCTCCCGCAGGTTCTTGTAATAGAGCAGAAGAACGAAGACGGCACGTGGCCCCGAGGCGCCATGGCAGCCAAGTGAGTGTAGGGCACATGGCTCGCCTTTATTACTTTGTTAGCTTTAAGGAGTTGTTCAGCAGAAACTGATTGCAGTCGCCACACTCTGGTCAAACAGTTCTGTTGATGCTCACAGAGTATTGAAAGGACTGAGTGAGTTTGAAGGAGAAGAGATGAATTATTTTGTTAAATGTAGAAACAACCAAAATCATAATTCACTGCGTCGTCTTCCTGTTTCCTCTTCTTGCCTTTGCCTTAGTCTGCCTCTTTTGCTTGAACCTTTGTTGCAACACATCGTTTCGTTTTATTTTATTCCATCTCAGTTTAATTTGACTGACACACTCGCACGCCTCTATTGGTGACAACTGTTTTTGTTTCTGCTCTAATTCACGGTCTATTCTTTTATCTTTTGAAGGTCATCTGGCGCTTCCAATCTCTCTGCTTTGCCAAAGATCTCGCCTTCATCTCTCACAAACAATCATAGCAGCAGCTTCAACAGCAGGAAGTAAGGCCTAGTCGCAGATGTGTGGGGTTGAGTTTAGACGCGAGCAGATAAAACCAACAGTGATGTTCTGGCTTCAACGTGTTCAGGTCTATGTTTGTCTGTGATCCTGATCGTGTATTTTCAACCGAAAGAGCTGATCTCAGGGATGTGGAAGGAGCTTAATTAGGACTAAACTCTTGGAAATACTTTCAGCAGCAGCAGTGGTCCCTTAAAATGGCACCCTGGCGCTCCTGAATATCTTACCCAGTGTTTAATTTTTTTTTTCAGATACATTTATTTTAAACCAGGGCTGATACAGTAGATGTTCATGCAGATGAAGAAAAGGGGGGAAAAAATCACTTGCAGCAATAATCGGGCAAGAATCAGACGCATAAATATTTCCTATAGTTTATGTTCATTACTCATAAGAAATGAAAGGAATGTCTATGCAATGCTGCAAAATATAACTTACCTATTTTAAAAGAAATATTTACAGTGGTGCAGTGTTTTGTTCAGCTTCCCATTCCTGAGTCTGCAGTTGTTTCATGTCTGCTGCTTCAATTAACATAACTCTGTTAATGTTCTCTTTTCGCCGTTATTTACACAACAGCTGGAACTCTTAACTTTCTCGGTTGAGCAGCTACAAGCCCGTGTTAGATTAGCGCAAATAAGTTTAAAACAAAAACATTTGATTTTTAGTTTTAACTTCTTTAGATGCTTCGAATGTGCTCTGCTTTTTTAAATGGTTGAATTTTGTTAAGATTTTGCTTCCTGCATCTGCCATATAAAAAAAAGAGTAGGTTGCAACCTTAATTGGGGGGAAAAAGTCGTAGCACCTGCCTCTTGAATGAGCTGAATGTTTTGCTAGCTGAAATGCATAAAGTATGCCGAGGTGTGTAGATTGAAAAAATCCTTCAAACAAGTAAAACAAAAAAATGCTGAATCAGCTAAATACCTTTACTTGGTCATAAAGAAAATCTAATGAATCCTCAGTTATGCAGCTGAAGTGGTAGCTCTGCTCCATGGTGGAGGTAAATTGTAAGAGAGCGCTGATAAATCTGCCAGTGAGCTCTTTACCTTTGTCCTCCTTCCAACCGTTGTCCGTCTGACTTAATGTTTCAGTTTGTTTTATGCATCGCTGTGGTTGAAATGCAGAAATAAAAGCTGCAAATTAGACCATGAAAAGAATCCAAGCGTTGAGGTGAACTCGGCCTTTTTGTCATTAGAATAAATTGTGTTTAGTGGTTTTGCGTTGCATGTACTGATAAAGCAGTGTTGTGGGTTGAGGCAACAAGATGACTTGGATAAATTGTATCTTCACTCAGCAGCTTTTATCCCTGATTCACTCCACAGTCAGCGCTGACGTTCCCTCTTAATTATGCATGGGGCCTGTATTTTTCATACGAAGCGTGTCTTTTGTCGTCTTGAATTTGCGGTTTTGACGAGGTCTGGCTGGTGCTCTGCAACAGCAGGAGTCTAACCTCTTTACCTCAACTCACTGCCACGCACATCTTCTGCAGTCTGTTTGACCTTCAAGCATCCATTTCCTCTGCTCTTTCCTCTCGTCACCTGACTCTTACTACTCGCGCATACTGATCCGGCCGTAAAGCCAAGCTCACCCCCGAGGGGTCAGGTCGTTTCTCTGAGTATTTAATTTACATGAACGAGCTGGTAAATGTGTCGTAGTGTGCACTTTGACAGCAAAGCAGGAAAAAATGGGTGGGAATTGTGTCAGTGTGTCGAGTTGTGGGAAAATGCATTCGGATGTGTGTGCACGAGCAACAAAAGGTGGTGATTTGTGTAATCCTGTGTTTTAGAGGAAGGGCAGAGAGTAGAGACACAGACCAGTGAACACTGCAGCTTCAGCTTAATGCAATGAATCAGCTGCTCCCTCCATCCCCGTCTCATTTCTCTTCTATCAGCGTCCCCCCCCCACCCTCTCTGTCCTCCCTCTCTGTGCACCTCTAGCTTCAGCAGCATCCTCTCCACTTCTATAAATATCTGCGGGGACCCGTAGAGCAGGAGCATAGAGGGAGGAGTTGGGCAGAGTGAAGAGGTCTGAGGCAGAGAGGACGACAGGAAGGGCTCCTGTTATAAGGAAGACGTGCTTGAGTTTTTATTTTTGGGCTTTCTAGAGCTTGGAAATTAAATTCAGGCCTGAACGTCACCTGGACGGCATTCAGACCGCTACCCGAGTTGGACTGGATTGAGCGGAGTTAACCGTATAGTTTGGAGCCGGTCACAAAAACTTGACTTTGCACGCTTTCGGAGTCCAGGCAGCTACCGGTAGTCGTTTAGCTCTGTGCTGTCATGTGGGCCGGCACGGGCTGGGGCGGGGCTGAGATGTCATGCTCCTGTGTTGCTGGTGGTGCCTGAGGCCCGAGGCGGTGGAGCTGGACAGCAGGAGGGTGGACCACTGCGTGCTGAGCTGCGAGACTCCCGCTTCCACCACCATCACAGCAGCATCCTTTGCACAGTGGGAGCCGGAGTCAACCAGCGCTACACTGTCAGCCTCACAGAGGTCTACTGAATATTGTAACTGGAAGGGGCTGATTAAAAACCTTTACTAGAAGCCTTAAAGTCTTTCGGGGTTAAAGTGAACTTCAAAAACTGGCTATTTAGCACTTGGTTAAAATAGATAATGCATTTGTGTGGACTTGAGCTTGTGGCAGTTTTATACATGTTTTCAACCCTGTGTTTAAATATGTATATGTAATTTGTATATTTGCTGTGCAGTGTGAAGAACTCAAGTTATAGTCTGCCATCGTACCCATCGTACTGCAACAGCTATGACTACTCAGACCAGAACAGACAGAGTGAGCGCTCAGGCCTCTGTGGACTGTCCAACCTGGGAAACACCTGCTTCATGAACTCTGCCGTGCAGGTAGCTGACACTCCACCAAGAAGTTCTCAGAGGCTGAGAAACTAAAGAATGTAGCGTCTGGTTAGTTTGTAGCTCATTGCTTCTTTTTTTTCTTCCTGCTTTTGCTCTTCAGTGTTTAAGCAATATCCCCCCTCTGACGGAGTACTTCCTCAAAGATAAATACAGGGACGAGCTGAATGAGGACAACCCCCTCGGCATGAAGGGCGAGATCGCCAGAGCCTACGCTGAACTCCTCAAGCAGCTGTGGTCGGGAAAATACAGCTACGTCACCCCCAGACCCTTCAAGGTGGAAAACAAACCTTTATTTTATTGCATGCTAATTTAATGCTGCTTTATTTAAAAGAGAAAATGGTGTACATTTAAGTATCTGGATAGCAAAAAAAAAAAATATATATATATATATATATATATATATATATATATATATGTATGGAAGATCTTGGAATATAAAGCCCATAGATATAAGATGTTTAAAATCACATCAGTCATAGGTGCTTATGTTCAATAAAATGTTTTAAAAGTTTCTGCCTCTCAATGGTTGTGTTTATCATGTAGACGCAGGTGGGTCGCTTTGCCCCGCAGTTCTCGGGCTACCAGCAGCAGGACTCCCACGAGCTGCTGGCGTTCCTCCTGGACGGCCTTCACGAAGACCTGAACCGCATCAGGAAGAAGCCCTACATCCAGCTCAAGGACGCAAATGGACGGCCCGATAAGGTGGGGCAAGCAGCTGATGCAGATTTTTTCCTACATTTGTTTGAATTCGACTACGACACGTCTTTATTCAGTCACTTGATGTTTAGGTTATTTTTCCAGCTTCTTCTGAGGGCGCTCGTTCTGCTCTTCATCTCAGGTCGTGGCGGAGGAGGCGTGGGAGAACCACATTAAGCGGAACGACTCGATCATCGTGGACATCTTCCACGGGCTCTTCAAGTCAACTTTAGTGTGTCCGGTGTGCTTTAAGGTCTCTGTGACCTTTGACCCTTTCTGCTACTTGACGCTGCCGCTGCCCATGAAGAAAGAGCGAACGCTCGAGGTCTATCTGGTCAGACTGGACCCCCTGGCTAAACCCACACAGGTAACACAGCGTCTTATCCTGATGGAGAGCTCTAATATTATTCAACTCACTCATCTTTCTTCTTCAGTACAAGCTGACCGTGCCAAAGGTGGGCTACATCTCTGACCTGTGCACGTCCCTCTCCTGCCTGTCGGGGGTTCCTGCTGAGAAGGTAACACCGTTAGTCAGCGCTTCCCTCTGCAGTAAGACAAACTGTTCTTAGCTGTGACTCTGAAACATGATGCTCCTCAGAAAGTACAACCCAACAATCTATTTTAACTGGGGGGGGGGTCTTGCAGATAAAGGAGTGTTCAGGAGCAAAAGCACTATTAGTTCATCTTCAGCAGCAAAGTTCAGTCATTTATTAATGATTTCTGTTACTCTCTCAAATTTGTGTACTGAAATCTTAAAAATGGATAACTAAATGAAAATGTTGCCGTTAACTATTTGAAGTAAATTCTTCCTGTCTGTTAGCAAAATATTTCATGAACCACTGAACAGATTGTGATGAAACTTCCAGGAAACGATCATCAGATGCACGTCTACAACTGATTTTTTTTAAGATGTCAATCCAATTCAGTTCAATTCAGTTTACTGTATTTTTCGGACTATAAGGCGCGAAACAAAACAGTTAGAAAAGTCAAACTTTATTCAACTCATTCACAATAAACACATAAAATCGGTTCGAGGTCAGTAAGCACAACCAGAATTAATACATAAGACGCACCTGATTATAAGGCTCACTGTCGATGTTTGAGAAAATTAAAGGATTTTAAGCGTGCCTTATAGTCCAAAAAATATGGTGTTTATTTAGCGCCAATTCCCAACAAAGTTGTCTCAGGGCATTTAACAGAAACATTCACATACATAGAAAAGTCAATTAGTAAAGTTCTCTATCTAAGGAAGCCTATTCAAATTGGCCGACACAGCTAAGTAGTCTTAGAAAACACAACAATGGTTTTAATTCAGTCAGTTTTACAGATAAAAGTTGGTGTTGATTTGTTTGTTTCTTAGTTGTTTTTTTCCCCAAAAGTTACTATAACTTTGTCATTTCTGAACATGACATGATTTTTATATAAAACTCTTTAACATGTGAAATCCATTCCTTCTAGGAATAGTAGACCTTTAATCTGTATTAAGCAGTTTATTTTTATTTTTTCTAAACCTCTACTGTCCTTTTTAAGTCAGTGGTTCCCAACACTGGTCCTTGAGGAACACCATCTTGCATGTTTTAGTTGTTTCCGGCTCCACACACCTGATTTGAATGGATGGGTTATTAACGGGCTTCTGCAAAACTCGAGGCAGTAATTAAATCACTGAATCAGGTGAAACAATTAAAACATGCAGGATGGTGTTCCTCAGGGATCAGGGTTGGGAACCACTGTGAAGTTTTCAGTCATTCCCCGTTCAAATCGTTGCAGTTGTCGCTTCTTATTTCTTATATAGCCAGTAATATAAACACAACATGCTAGGTTTAAGACGAGGCGCTGCAGAGCCCCAGTACAAGTTTAAAAAATTTAAATCATCATTAAAATCATTAATAATGGATGACAAATGATGACTGGCAGCATGAGGCAGATAAGAGATGTGGAAAAATCAATTTTCTGAGTTTTCACAATCTTGTTGACGAAGTCAAGCTCACTAAAAATGTGGCTGACAGAAACTTTTTTGTTTGCAAAGAAGATAATTGTCCAGTGTCGAAGCACCATTTAAAACTGAAGTATCTCCTTCCATGTCCTGACCTTCAGATGATTGTAACCGACATCTACAACCACCGTTTCCACCGAATCTTCGCCACAAACGAGAACCTCAGCAGCATCATGGAGCGGGACGATATTTATGTGTGAGTGTGCTCTCAGATTACAGCTGCTGTGCTCGTTTTAATTTGTTTTACAGCACGAAATCGATCCTGTTCTTTTCGTTCTAGGGATTTAAATGACCAGAAACGTTAACGGTTTACTTCTGTTCTCATGCGTAGCTTCGAGGTGGCGGTGAACAAATCGGAGGACACGGACCACGTGGTGATCCCAGTCCACTTGAGGGAAAAGTACAAGCAGTCGGGTTATAACCACACCAGCACACCGCAGTTCGGACTGCCCTTCCTCATTGCCGTCCCCAGATCGCTGAGCGAAGACAAACTCTACAACATGCTGCTGCTGCGCCTCTGGTTGGTTCATTTCTCTCTGTCATGGGTCGGTTTGTTGACGTTACCATCCAAACTAGCCCGGTCATTTTAATGGTTGATCTGTTTTCTGGTTTACAGCCGGTTTGTGCGATCTTCTGTAGAGGAGGACGAGGAGGACAGCGAAGAGACGCAACCATCCAAACCACACACTGTGAACGGAAACGCCACCAATGGACTGCTGGAAGAGGGCTCGCCAAGTGAGTGCATGCCGTCAGGTTGAACACCGTCTAAATCTTAGTTCATTCTCAAAAAGACAAAAGTTCGTCCTTTTCCTGAAAGCCGACAAGTCGATTGGAAAGCTCCTCTGTGCTCTTTTAGGCGAGATGGAGACGGACGAGCAGGACGACGAGTCCAGCCAGGACCAGGAGCTGCCGTCCGAGAACGAGAACAGCCAGTCCGAGGATTCTGTGGGCGGAGACAACGAGCTGGAGAACGGCGTGGTCGCTCCTCAAAACTCCACAAAAGGACAACAAACAGCCGGGCACAACAGAAAGAGACTTTTTACATTCCAGTTTAACAACATGGGCAAAACGGACTTCTTGCTCATCAAGGAGGACACCAAGCTGATCCGCTTCGACGAGGCCCACCTCAGACTAAGTGGTAAGAAGAGCGCTGAGGATTTGGTGTAAATTCATCCGACGGTGTGACGAAGACAACGGTACGTTTCAGCTTTATATTCACTTGTTGCTCTTTTTATTTTACAGACCGCTCCTATCTCTCTTTGGACTGGGAACCAGAGATAAAGAAGAAGTATTTTGATGAAACTGTTGTCGAGGTAAAACTTTACAGCTAATGTTTCAAGTCCGTTTTTTGTAGACGGATGTTTTAGATTTTTGTTGCACAAATCCTCCTCATCAAATAAGACGCATGTCTGGTGGGAGTCTTCAGGAGAGAGCTGCGATGGGATTATAAAACGATTATCAATGTATGCATAATGACTCCAAACAAAACCCTGAGCACAGAATCTCTCAGGCCTTAAAGAAGCATCATCCCATGCTCTGCAGACTCTTCTGCCAAATAGTCGCCAGCAGTCGCAGCTCAGCAAGATGCCTTCAGCAGAGACCACCAACTCTTCCTCATGCACACAACTTTCCTTTAATGTCCTCTTGTCAACGTCATTTTCCACTAAACTTTATAGAAGCTGAAGTTTGTCCAAACAGTGGCTTTCAGTGTGGTCGCACTTGTTGCGTGCACGCCATTACCGGTCCCGGTGCTGCACTTCAGAGTTGCACCTTTTGCAGGATGTTTGTAGCATTTAAACTGAGTCCAAGTCATGTCTCCCGTCTAATTATTCACATTTTTTTAGGTTTGTCTTCAAAACACAGTCATCCTCAATATAGAGTGCAAACGTGACCTTTGGAAAATTCTGATGTGACAACATGGGTGTTTTAATTAAACGTTATTAACGTTACTTATGGTAATTTTACGGCATAAATCATTTCATAGCTTTGCAGCTCTGTGGTGTCCAGTCCTGGTCCTGGAGGTCCACCATCCTGCATGTTTTAGTTGTTTTCCTGCTCCTCAGCAGAACGTCATGTTCTGAAGCAGCCTGGTAATCACTCAGTCGTTTGAATCAGATGTGCCAAAGCAGAGAAACATCTAAAACATGCGGGATGGTGGCCCTCGAGGTCCACGATTCAGGACCACTGAGTTTGTTTTATTCTCAAAGCTATCATTTCCTCAGCGTGTGCAAGTTGGTGATCAAGTCCCACCTCAAAAGTATTCAGGAAAATATTTTTCTGTGTTGAATAGAAAAGCTTCTGGGCCTCGTTTTCATTTTGTGTTTGGACACTGTGATGTTTTAAAGATCCAAAATTGACTGCTGATCTTAAACACAGCAAGTCTTAAAAAAAACAACACGTTTGGAAAAAGTGTGTTGATTCTTTCTGTTCCTGGACGGAGCTTGTTGTTTATGACAGGAATGAGCTCAGCTGGTTAAATGTATTATGAAAGCTGTCCTCGTTTCTTTTTGGTGCGGAGTTGTGTTTCTGATGCAGTGACGTGTTTGTGTCTGACTGCAGGACTTTGACAGACATGAGAGCATGGAGTACAAGCCTCAGAAGAAGGCTTTCTTCAAGCTGAAGGACTGCATCGAGCTGTTTACCACAATGGAGAAACTGGGAGCAGAGGACCCCTGGTGAGGAAGAGAGCTTCTTAGCTAACCCTCAGACAAACGAACAGCAGGACAGGGACTGTAAGGAGTTCCCTTTTACAGCTTCAACCTCTTCCATCTTTCATTACAGTTGCTGAACTGAACGATCTGAAGACGCTTCAGATTTTTTAGTTTTGCACATTATTATGTTTAAGTTTTTAGTTAGACTACTGTTTTACTAATTTTAAGCTTTGTAAAAAAATAAAATTCTAATTGTAGTTTTTAGCTATGGTTTTTTAACATTTAGCTTCCAGGTACAATTTTGCTACATTTAACTATTTGCTACGGTTTAGTTCATTTAAAATTTTAGCTTTTGTTTGTTAATTTTAGCCACTATTTTACTTTTTTTTTCTTTTAGCTACTGTTTTGCTCATTTTAAATTTTAGTTACAGTTTGCTGACCCTTCAAGCATGGCATTTTTTTTTTTTACAAACTTATCTTTTAGCTGTGGTTTTGTAAAATTTAGCTTTCCGCTACAATTTTGTAACATTTAATTTTTAACCACGGTTTTGGTCAATCTAGCTTTTCATATGTTTTATTAATGAAGCTGCTGTTTTGCTTACCTTACTTTAGCTTTTAGCTTTTGGAAACAATTCTGCTCATTTGAGCTTATTGCTAATATTTTGTTTATTTTAGCTTCTGTTCTGCCTTTTTTTATTTATTTTCTTACAGTTCAGTTCATTCATTATCAAAGGACAGCAGTCATTCAACTTTTGAAGTCATTGTTGCAGAAAAATGCATTTTCTTTAGCTCTTCTTCATTTGTTGTTGGGTAAAGTTCCCTCCAATTTGTTGTTGGGTAAAGTTCCCTCCAAAAAGGGAGTTTTAATTATAGGTATCAGGCCAAATTATTTTAAAATGCATTCCAGACTTTTTAACTGATACAAAGTTCATGTAAATTTAAGTACAGATCTTTTATTTTAGCTTTCTGCCGTGTTTCATCTCCGTTTCTGCAGTAGCCCAGAAAGGGTCAAATAAACCCGTCTCTAGTCCCTTCTCTGACTTGAACCCGTGTGCCTCGTCTAACAGGTACTGTCCAAACTGTAAGCAGCATCAACAGGCCACGAAGAAGCTGGACCTGTGGTCCTTACCTCCAGTTCTGGTGGTCCACCTGAAGCGCTTCTCTTACAGCCGCTACATGAGGGACAAACTGGACTCTCTCGTTGACTTTCCTCTCAGGTACACTCAGCACAAACCTGCACATTGTCAGGTCGTCACCAAACATTTATAAACGTAAATGTTTGTTGGTAAACAAAATAAACCTTTAAATATCTCTCAGTTTCCTACATGCAGTTGTTGCTACATTGTTGTCCCGTTACCTCAGGTTGGTTCTTTCTGCTTTTCTCTGTAGAGACCTGGACATGTCTGAGTTCCTGATCAACCCGAACGCCGGGCCGTGTCTCTACGATCTCATCGCCGTGTCCAACCACTACGGCGGGATGGGCGGAGGGCACTGTAAGACTGCGTCACGCAACCGTTCTGCTTCGTTTACATGTTTTTAAAGTCCAGCTCTTGTGCCCTGAACAGTTTTATTTCACGTTAATGAGCGACGTGTCGTTTTCTGACTTGGATGGACTTTTCACGTCATTCTTGACTTTATTTCTGTGATGAAAGTTGGAAAGTCCTGTTTTTCTTCTTGCATTTCTTTTTAAATGTTTGGTTTAAAATAAATAACAGCTGTAATGTTTGCACGAGGAAATGACCGACAAGGGTTAATGAAGTCAGTTGGTTCAACCGTTTCGCTCAACGTTGTCAAAGGGAAGCGTTGCTCTTAGTAGTTTCTCCTTAAACTGGACTGAAAAAAAAAAAGGAAGCTCTAAAGACAAATTAAAAAAGTTGTGCCGTTCTGTGACTTTGTTTTCTGATCGAAGCTCGAGACACAGGAACACAACGCATCTTAAATTATATTTTACACTCTTTCCTCAGATACTGCTTACGCTAAGAACAAAGATGATGGGAAGTGGTACAACTTTGACGACAGCAGCGTGTCTCCTGCCAGCGAAGACCAAATAGTGGTGAGTGACCATAAAATAACTCGTCTGCACGCCTCTAACAAGTTCCTTTTCTCAAAGTAAAGGTTGTGGGCTGCCGGTTTTATGCGTTTTTGTTTGCGATCAACCAGCTGACTCTTATAGTGCAGATTGTTTCCCCTAGGACAGAATTGTGTTGAATTATGCAACATGATGATGGTTACAGATACAAACTGCCCCCAAGAGGTTTGTCAGAGGTGTTCTGGTCTCCTTTAGCCTTCCGGTACACACGTTTACTAACCTAAACCGAACTTTGCTAAAAGTTTAAATGATCTCTTTTTAAAGATATAATTATATATATATAAAGATTTAAGCTATAATGTGCTGTCGATCACAGAACAGTCTGAGGAACGTTATGTTGAGTTTCATTCACCTGATGGGTCAGGTGGCTGTGTGTGTCTGCAGGTAACTGACATCACATCATAAAAAAAACCTCTCTTAAGTACAAAATTTTAACAACTGAACATTCCTGGTCTGAAAAGTCTCTTTAAGTTCCTTCTTCTGGTCCAAGATCAGCTTTAATGTAGTTGCTGCAGTGATGAAGATGTTGGTTTGGGCCCTAAACGCTGCACGTTGTTCTCTTTCTGTTGATTCAATTCAATTCAATTTCAATTCAGTTTATTTATATAGCGCCAAATCACAACAAAGTTGGCTCAGGGCACTTTACAGGAACATTCACATAAAAGCCAATTAGTAAAGTTCTCTATCTAAGGAATCCAGCAGACAATTTGAATCTTGGCTTCGTTGCAGTCTCCCATCCTGAGCAAGCACAGTGGCAACAGTGGAAAGGAAAAACTCCCTTTTAAAAGGAAGAAACCTCCAGCAGAACCAGACTCAGGACAATTGGCCATCTGCTTTGACCGGCTGGTTGAGAGGACAGGGTGGAGAGACAGACGAACACAGAATGATAGGTCCAGGTATAGGTCCAGGTGTATCTGAAAGACAAAAAACATGTTAAGGATAGAAAAAATAATTACAAATACAAAACAGGTTGAGCGGAGTAAGTAAAGACGGTAGCAGAGTGAAAATTGTGGTCAGTTTGTCCTCCAGCAGTCTAAGCCTATAGCAGCATAACTAAGGGACAGCTCAGGAAACCCAAGCCGCCCCCAGCTATAGGATTTAGCAAAAAGGAAAGTCTTAAGCCTACTTTTAAAACTGGATAATGTGTCAGCCTCACGGACAGAGATTGGAAGTTGGTTCCACAAGAGAGGAGCCTGATGACTGAAAGATCTGCCTCCCATGTTTGCAGCATTTACCAGATTATGAAACCTTCTCAACGTCAGTCATGACTTTTTGTCTTTCCCCCCTGCAGTCTAAAGCTGGTTACGTGTTGTTCTATCAGCGCCAAGACACGGTGAAAGGTACTGGCTATTTTGCCCTCGACCGTGAGGAGGAAGAGGAAGAAGAAGAAGAGGAAGAGGAGGAGGAGGAGGAAGAAGAGGAAGAGGAAGCTGAGGAGGAAAACGAGTCTGAGGAGCTGCATGACAGAAAGACTGTCTCGTCTGCTCAGGGAGCCTCGGCCTCCACCCAAAGTGAAGAGGAGGAACTAAACGAGAACAAGAGCAGGAGGAATGACCAGGAGGAAGAGGAGGAAGAGCAGGCATCCAGTCGGGACGTAACCATGAAAACCAACTGAGATACACGAGGACAAATGGAGACAGAACGGGATCTCTCCATCCAAAGCCATACGGACAGCGTGGCAGCAGGCGTCGCCGGGCCCGCCCAGCGGTTTGGACTCAGCCGCTCCACAGGCGGAGCCGCCGCCGGGTCAGGGAGCCGCCGGGGTACGCATCTGAGAAATCAGGACCCTCCTGTGGGTGATCACAGTGTGTATGTGTGTGTGTGTTGCTCCTGTCTGAACAGAGACCGAACACCAGAGACGGGTTTCTGAGTGTCCCCATTGTTTTAATTTCTGTTCTCAACAGTCTGCAGATCATTTTACTCTTTAGATTTTGTAAATATTTTAAAAAACACTGAATTTTCATGATGAGCTGAAATGTTTTGAACTTGCACAATCACCAGCCATCCACCATATCTTTTTATTTTATTTTATCGTATTCATGCCAGAAAACCTGCAGTTTTCTCTCCTGAAGACTGAGACGCGTCTACAATCCAGATTAAAGAAGAGTCGCGGGGTTTTAGCTTTGAGCTGCCGCTGCTAATCCTGTGTTCTTAGACCACCTGCCCTCTGTTAAAAACACAAATTTAAACAGGGTCGAGATGTTATCCAGTGATTCTAAAGCATTTTAGAATCCGTCCGACGGGCTTTCTCTTAGCTCCAAGTGTTTGAACGTTACCTGGCAGGCTCAGGCGGCCTCCACTGCCACATTTGTTCTCCTCCAAACATGGCCTCTAAAGCTTTACTGCAGCTCTGCACTCGGTTTCTTCACATTCAAGACGCTTTAAGGTTAGCATCGTTTGTTTTAAAGTCACCACGGCCTTAACTCCAAATCCGACATTGGTCGCCTTTTTCTTTGCACATCACTGTCGGCGTCCCTCCCGTGGCCCCACAGTCTCACGTCCACAGCAGGGCCAGAATGTATGCTGAATGGAACAAAGACCACATGTATGTGACTAACGATGCCTTCAATGCCCCTTCTTTCCGGTAACAGATTGCTCGCCTTTGATTCTGGCTGTGTAAATTCACAGGACAATGTTTTTGGTAATCCTGCTCTCTGAGTCGGGGGGGTACTAAACTGAAAACTGTGGGGTGAGTCTCCCGAAAAGGACGATGACTCGGTGAAAATATTCAGCGGCAGGTGGATGCAACTTGTGCTCAACCGGTTCTTTTTCTAACCGTTCGCTCCATCGTAAACAGCGTTTGTCGCCTCTGAGCGTTCGACGCCTTCAATGGCGCTTCACCAGCTTCCGTTCAGGTCGACTCACCCCCATCCTGACCGAGATGTGATCGCTACTTTAAGATTATACAATATTGTACAGAAGAGTTCACTCTGTGAGTGCACATTTGATAGTTTATTTATTTATATGTAAGCATTTAATAATAAGCAGACGATATATTTAAAAACCTGGGCAAGGCCCTAAAAACCTGGGGTCTGGACAGAACACTACTTTGCAATGTTTTGTCATGGAGGGAATATTTTTTTAGAAAAAAAAAAAAAGATGAATCTCATGAATTTTTTTGTAAAAAAAATAAAAATAAAAACAATCCAGGCGTCCTTGCATGATGATGTATTGGGAATTTCGCGGTTTGACTGCACTTAAGTTCACTTGGGTTTACATTTGAAATGTGCATGTGTATTTATACACAATCTACAATAAAGTTGTGTAAAGTGTCCTGTGGTTCCTTCCTACAAATTATTATTTTTTAAATTTTTATGAAGCTTTTAATGCTGATTGAGAGGTTGTGAGGGTTAAGCGTCATAACAAATGTCCAAAAGTAGTTTTCAGTAAAAATCCAGCTGCACAGCGTCTGATACCAGAGGAAATAATGATCCAATTTTCAAACGCAATATATCAGAACGAATGTATCAGAGCTCCCAACACGCAGCAACCTTGTGCAGCACAAGTCTAGTATTTATCATTAATAATAATTATTATTAAATGCAATTTCTCCTGTTTTACAAAATGCTGCCATTTAAAACAAGTATTTCACAAGCTATGAAAGTTTACCCTGTGAAAACTTACTACTGTTTGTGTTGAAAATGGGACTGCAGCACCCCCTTGTGGACGTTTAAACAAACCACATTAAATATCTTTTTTTTTTTCCCCATAAACGAATGAATCAACAAATAAAATGCTAGTAGTGTCTTTTACAAGTCGTAGAAATTAATAAATTGAACAAAATTAATTCGTTGTCTACTAGCTTCCGTTTACCTAGAAACTAGCATATGACTGAGCATTAGCTAAGTAGCCACTACCGGTTTGAACCGGAAACACCGCCATCTTGTGGACGATTTACAAAAACTTGATTAGATTTGAGCCGCAAACTTGTGCGCTTTAAGATTGGTTTATTCTCGTTTGTCAAGCGCCAACTAGTTGAGAACAAATACTGTAAAGTGTGTTTGATACGTTCAGTATCGATAGCGGTAACTAATGCCACCTTGATAAAAAGTTGATCTCCCATGGTCTTCATGGCAGCAGGTATCTGTTTTGCTGTACTGTTTTTTTTAGGATATGGGACCAGAAGCTCCTTTGTAATTGTAAAATAATTCCAAAAAGTAATAAATTTCGTCCCTGGGTGGGCTCGAACCATCAACCTTTCGGTTAACAGCCGAACGAGACGGGCGACGGCTATTAGAGGAGAGACACCGGTGTCGTGCCACATTTAGTATCCCCGAAATAATCTGTTCCACGACACCGGCTAACGCGAGGGAGATACAGCCACATCTGTCCTCCATTTTTTTAAACTGACCAGCAGGGGGCGCGCGATCATATTTTCTACAGATGTTGTGAACGTACATCTGCATTTAGCTCCAGTCGGCTCCTGTCTGGACTCTGGACGTCCTCCGTGACTCTGATCCAAGACGATCCGCCACATGGGCTCGTTTACACGGACAGCATCTGGGAGCCAAGCAGCAAAAACACAAAGACTTCAAAGGATTTACTCACATTTTGTTGCCAGATCTTCGGATGAAGACAGAAGAAACTGCTCTTCACTGGAAACTATTTCTCTTCAAAATCTTCATAGTTGTGTAAAATTAATTAGACATTTAATCTCAAAGTATGCACACAGAAGGCTTTGCTGTGGATCATTGTGTAGTTTTTTAGTAAAATGTGTATTTTATGTCACTGTGTTAAATTTTACTGTGCATTATTTTCTGCTTTTCACGGATGCGCTGATCCAAACCCGGAGGACTTGAAGCTGCTGGTACCAGTACCAGGCGCTGGCTGAGGTAGTAGTTTGTGCTGTTGGACGGATTGACACGTTCTGGAGATGACGGCCCAGTCTACTGCCTTCTGCCGGCGCTGGTGACTCTCACAAGGACTTGGAGACACACTGACCACCATCAAGGACTCATTTAAAACACGTTTTATATTTGTTGGTAAACGTCTGTAAAGGTTTGTGGTCCTCTTTTATCAAGAAACTGGAATAAAAAATAATTTCATGTTCTATTGTAATGTATGTGATATATAACATAGTTTCAGAAGATTTTTCCATCTGGTTTTTGTTTGTGAAATTGATTAAAATGACATCATTCCTAAAATTCCCATGGCATCAATTTTTCATGACAAATACAAATTCATCTTTTGAAAGGAAAAATTAATACATTTATTATACTAAATAAATAAGAAAAGTCGCATAGCTGAGATGAACAGTTGAGATATTTGCACGAGTTGTAACAGGAAGTGATGACAAAGGGGAACGCCTACACGTAAACAGCATTACTGCAATAACTAACAGACACATCTGACACACTTTATTTGGAGTCACTATCAGGAGACGGGCGTAGAAAGAGTTTTGTACAAAGACCATTTTTTAAAGAGTTCACGTGTTGTCACTTCTTGTTTTGAGCACCAAGTAAAAAAAAAAAAAAGGCCAGTTGTGTGATAAATATCAGTAAAATCACGTGCTTTATTCTTGAATATAGATGTTTTCTTCCAGCTTTTATTTATAGGAAATGAACGTCACAAGCACTTGTGGACAACAAAATCAATCCAGCGGCCTCAAAAGGCCCACACACCTCACTTTGGTTTCTCCTGATAGAGTTATGGACAGATTGAACCGTAGAGGTAGGGCAGCCAACTCGGGACCCGAAAGTCCCAGGTTCGACTCCCAGCCATTTCCACGTCGTGGTGTCTCTGAGCAAGACGCCTAATCCCTAATTGCTCCCCGGCTGCTTACATAGCTGCCCACTGCTCCACCTGGGTATAGGTGCTAAATGCTAATTTCACCATTGTATGTTGTCAACACATAGCACTCATTATTGCTATTATTAATTATTAGGCAGTTTCCAATTCTTTAAACGTTAACAGTTTTAATGCTCAGTTAGGAAGTAAGCAGTTATTTTTTTTGTGTGATTTAGTCTTTTTTTTTTTTACTGATATTTTTCATTAAGTACAATTTTACAGTGCTGGCTGAAACCCGTTTGGGTTGTTTTGATAACACAGTTACTTCAAAGTTTTTGGGTCATACTTTGGATTTTACTGAACAAATATTGGATCAAAAAGTTTGAACCGGGGGCTGGATTAGAGTTGAGCCGAGTCATTCTTCACAGTCTGACGTTTTGAGGCAGAAATTGACCAGACTGGACCTGTTTTAGTGTAAAGGCAAGACTGAATTAAAAAAAATAAAAATTTAAAGGAAGTTTGACCTAATTGACTTTGATAACAACTTTAGTTTGCACTATTTATTGAGTTTAATCTCTTAAAATAGTATTAGCTGCTAGTTAGCTCATGCTAATTGCCGTTAGCACAAGCTAGCATCAACAGAAGTTCTAACTAAAATGTTTGATTTTGGTTAGTTTTAACTCAAATATTCAGGAATGTGGACCAGAACCAGACACCACTGGATTAGAGAAGTCCATTTTAGGATCGTAAATGTTTTTAAAACGATTATATTTTTATGTTGATCAGGCACACAAATTATCAAATACGTTTGTCCATATTTGTTTTGTTTCCATGTTAAATGTGCAATTATTGTGAAATCAAATGCAATTTATTGATCTAGTAAAAAAACCAAAAACATTAATGCCCACAAAAAACTATTTTAAAAATCGGACACCGGCTGACATTTTTAGTGCCAGAACCTGCAAATTCAAAAGTTTTATCTTTTCTCCCCCTCTTTACAATTTATAAGAAGTGAAAGCAGGAAAAAAATAAAGTATTTAACTTATTTCAAATGAGTCAAACTAATGCTTATTTTCCCATGTACAGTATCTTCAACATTTATTGTCTTTTTTTCATATCCAGATAATAAACACTGAAGGTAAACGTTACTCCTTCAAAAGTCAGTTGCCAAGGAAATATTAAAAGTATTTCTTTTTGACTGTTGTTTTCTTATATAAAATGTACATTTCACATTCACAGAGAAGTTAAGGATAGCACAAGTCACATATAAAGAAACCGAGTCTTAAATTTACTCTTTGCTACAGAAAAACTTCCCGTATTCAACCTTGTAGTCAGATAAATCCAACAAAAGTTCACAATGAAACGAAACAAAACAGCATTCTGACTGATGGTAATTAATAAAACTTAACATAAGCTTCCTGGACTCGACACTAAATCTAGTCGTCCCAGTAAATCATTCTGGACGTCTCTTTAAAAAAATAAAACATTAATGAATAACTAGAACCCGTGATGATGTGCAACAGTTGGGTCAAGACAAATAATCTATTGTTTCACATTCATATAAGAGAAAAAAGGCTCAAAACGACGACGGATCAACATTCACATAAAATAATCAGATGTAGCATGAACAAGTTTCAAGTACCGTCAATAACATCCTTTTCCCACGGTCATTTAAACTCGGAGGCAGGTTTACAGAATCTGAAGAGTAAATTTAAGGGTAAAAACATGCTTCAAAGTTAAATTTAATGGTCATAATAATTGTTAATGTGTTGGGGTGTAAAAAGATCGCCTGCTGCTTAATTGATAGTAGATCATTGTTTAAAATATAATAATAATTTAGATGTAACGGCACTCAAACACAACAAAGTGTAGCCGTTGCGTCGTCAACGTTCGCCCCATTAAAGAGCCTGGACTAATTTTATACTTTTAGAATTTTGTCACAAATTATAAAGTAGTAAAATATAAAATGTTGGTGTTTTACACTAATTATTGCTTTTGTTTATTTTTGAAATGGGGAAATTTCTTCCTGTCTTAATGCTATTTTGAGCTATGCTAAGCTAAATTAAGGGAAATGGCTACTTGTTCGTTTTTTTTCTTCTCCCATGAAAAAGTCAGCAGCATCTCTTATACATTTAAATTTTTTCCCCAAGGATATGAGGAATGGAAAATAAGAAGCTAGTGACATTCGGATATTATTTTGTTTCCTGTTGAAGTGAGGTTGTTTCTCCTCGTCTCAATATTAAGCTGCTTCGCTAAACTAGGCTACATGCTAGTTGTAATAGCACACAATCAAGTGTGGATGTTTTCAGGTTTAAGCTAATTTTATCACAAATCAGTCTGCGTTTTCAAATTTTCACAGATTATAAGGAATTCAAAATAAAAAGTGTTTTTCAGAGACATTAAATAATATTTTGTTTACTTTTGAAGTGAGACTGTTTCGAGACTACGTTAATAGGCTAAGCTAAGTGGCGCTAGTTTACTTTTTATCTCATACAGCTGGCATATTTAAAAAAAAAAAAAATTTCCTACAGATTTTAAGGAATAATAAGTTTGTTTTATTCAGAGACACTAATTAGTAGCTTGTACTTTAGGAGCAAGTCTGGTATTTGATGTGTCCAGTCAAAACTTTGCATTGCAAAGGGAAGCCATGCTAAGCTAATTGTAGCCTCCTCTAAAAACTTATTTTTCTTACTATGTCTGCCTGTTTTATAAAATTAAGAAACATTATGCTTTTGTTGTTTTGCCTAAAGTTGTGCAGTGCAATTGGAAAAAAAACAGCTAAATTTAAACAAATAAAAATATACATAAACAAATTGACATAAGTGCTGACAAAACATGCGTATATATATAAAAAAAAAAATTGGAGGGGGGGCTCCACCTGAGTAAATTTCAGTGATTACACTGTTTTTTATATTATATTTCTCATTTTGCCAGTTAAGTGTGATTAAAATTCACCTCCCTAAAATCCACTTTGAATGGACCTCCCATTCTTCTTAGAAATGTACAAAATAGTTTTTGTTTTTATGTTTTTTAAATTAATTTTTTACATTTGTCATTAGAAATTGCAAATTGTCGGAAGCATTCGTGTCTGAATTCAGCGCAAATAATGAGAAAAGACAAACCGTTTGAAACAGTGATTGCCTGGTTTTACAAATCATTACCAACTTATTTTATCATTTACTAATACTGTAAATGGTAAAAACCTAAAACACTTTCAGATCATTATTTTTTTTCTTTTACTTAAACATCTGGCATTTTAATATTACGACAAAACAAAACTGAGAAAAGTTAAACAAGTTCTAAAAATCCCAATTGTTACGGTTATTTTTGCTCTTTGGAATTCGTCTTTTGTAAAGTAAATGTTTTGGCCACATTTTTTCTAGTGCAAACTCTTCAGCATCTTCAGGCTGACCGACTATAAACTTCTGGGTTTTTGTCAAAACCCCATGAATTAAATTAAATAGATAAAACATGCATTTATTTGTCTATTAGAGCCGGTGTTTCCCCTACCATTATACATGCAGGGCGCCCCACCCTGCCTACCAAACCTCCCCCCTCCCCCCCTGAAACTGTCGGTATAAACAGCGCACAACACAGACATGTCTCCCCTCACCCCACCCCCCTCAACAAAAATCACAGAAGAGATGAGCGCCCTGTCAAGGCAAGTAATCTAGGGGAAACAGCTGTTCTCTTTTAATTTCCATCCTGAACGCCATTCTTATTTCAAACGCTTGTAACTCTGACAGACATGAAATAACCCTATAGGTATAATGGGTGGGTTTTGCACATTTACGAATAACATCATCACAAATTCTTTGATACATGACGTAAATCTAGTCCATAGAAAATAAAAATCAGCTCAAACCGTTGCATCGTTGCTCATCTCATTTTCTGTAATTTACTGCATGTCCCGACAAAAACTAACTACATCCACCAACCGAGGCCGCAGCATCCGAACGCATCTGAAGCTTTAAGCATGCAGAGCAAGAGAAAGAAAGCTTTCAGATTTTTTATTTTTGTTTGTTTGTCGTCATTGAACTCGATTGTGATTCAGGAGTTTCAGTTGTTTAATCCTACTCGCTGCAGGGAACGTTTCTGCCAATCGTGGCGACTAAAGTGCAACTAAACTGAGGTACGAGTCAAACGGCTCGTACCGTATCGGTAAACTTTCTTCATGCTGTTCAGATGTCAAACTTTGTAATTGGATCGATCTTCCAATCGCTGGTCCATGACATTTTCTCCCAATTCTTTGACGTCCATCTCTTCATTTGTTCCTCAAACCGGAAGCAGTTCACCATGGACTGAACCTTCAAAGCCACACTGTGGCAAAACGGAGAAGAAGACAAAAAGCAGCTGACCTGTCAGCTTTGGTCCATGTTCACAAGGAGGAGGTATTTCTCTTTAAATCGAATCAGGATAAATACACCGAAGAGAAGGAGTATAGGGCTACGAACAAAGTGAAAAGAAGAAAGACGGACAAGAACGTTTCTTCACTTTAAAGAATATTCCCTTGTTTAAGCTTTTGTATCTCTGTAGAAGTTCAGGAGCAATAAAAACTTTGTATAGACCAGTTTTTCTTCTCGGCATTGATTTTTTTTAAATACAAAATGTTGTTTTAAAGACCTTACCTGAACTAATACAGAGAATTAAAGCACCAGCAGAATCTAGGGATTCTCCCGTGTCTAAGAAAGGGATTGTAAAAAAAGGATGGCGAGTATGTTCCTATGAATCCACAGGCTCTTCCGTTCTTTGCGCCAGGCTCGTCAGGGCACCCGGTTGCCGTACATCAAAGGTATGATGAAGACCGAGATGTCATCTCCAGAGCCGAGGCGCTCATTGGTGATCCTCCAGCCTCTGTCTCTCAGCACGCCACGTGCCCGCATCACCAGGTCCTGTGCAGCCATGGTGTACCTGGGGAATGCAAGAAACAAGAAACTGGCTCATTTTTAAGGTTTTCCACCAAAATACAGGAGATGAGCTTTAAATTATGAAGGTCTGACACGAGTCACAGTTCTCACCTGTGCAAGTCATCGGGGTCACAGTTGGACAGAAAGGTGGTGACGGCTTCGGCAACTTCCTCGTTGGTGAGGACATCCCAGAGTCCGTCGGTTCCCATCACCAGAACATCATCTGCCCCGTGTTCATACTGCATCAGATTATACACCTTCACCTGCCGGATAAAACATCACACTCACCGAGTTAACTGAAAATTATCAGCCGCTGCTGCTTTTCAGCAACTTTATTGCCCCAAAAGGCGAGAAGTCATGTAACTCCCCATATTTAGGTGTGTTTGTCTTCCTGTCTGTTAGTAGGCCTGTCGCAACAAACAATAAATCAATTAATCGCACGATAAATGAAAATTATCAACCTCATTTTCATTTATCGGCTTTATCGTTTCTTTGTGTTTTTCTCTTTCTACTGAAGACACTGGATGACAAAAGTTTCAACTCTGGTGCTCTTCACTGACCCCTCCCTTTCTCTCTTCCCTTTAAAATACATTTTAACGATCCAAAATCGCCTTTTTGGATCGTTAAAAGTAGCTAAGATGAGAAGATAAGCTAACAGGCTGAGCTCGGAAAAAATACTCAGTCTTGTCGAAGCTCCAAAATTCATGGTTGAAACTCGTGCCTTCATGTAAAAAGTTGTTCTTCTCTGCAAAAAAAAGCTGAGAACTTGTTTGTTTATTAAAAGCTTTGTGTGACAAATGCGTCGCCATTTTGAGAACTGAAAAACAGGAACGAGAGACAGCCCATGTAACATCAACGGGACTCCCTCCCATTTTTCTTAAAGAGACACGCTGCTCCCTCCCTCACTATCCATCCTTCAGTTCAAACAGTCTTGTACTACCATCCAGTGGTCAAAAAAGGTACTACGTACAAAAATTAACCAACATTTCTTTTGAAATTTGACAATTACTAAATATTGTCAAATTTCAAACAATATTATCATTTATCGCAATAATTTCTGAGACGATTAATCGCCCAGCAAAATTTATCGTGACAGGCCTATCGTTAGCAAAATATATTAATAGAATTAATCAATGGATGCGCAACTGATTAACTTTTAGTCAATATGACCTTAGAAAACACTAAAAGTGCTATAACAGTCAGTTTTACAGAAAGTAGAATAAAATTTGGCATAGTAGTTGAGAGTATTGCACTGTAGTACTAATGTACTATAATTGTAGTAGTGCATATCCATTGCACTTATGTAGAGCACAAGTAATGCTAGTTTTTAATTTTAGGTAAAGCATTTGGCTCATTTGTTTCTATATTTACTTTGTCGGTTTAAAATGTTTAATGTAGAAAACAGCTCTGGTTACAAATGGCAACAAAGTCCAGCAGCTGCAATAAAAAAAAAAACTTGGGTCAAATCAAGTGTCCAACAATTACACAAAGAAACCTGTGGATGCTTTATCTAAAGCCCCTCACAGAGCTCGGTTTATGATATTTTACTTTGACTTCAAAACGCTGTTCCAGAGAGCGCCCTGAGAAAACAGACGAGACGCTTTGATGAGAGTTGCGAGTAGAAGAAAGCGAAAGAGGGAAAAAGTCTTCATGTGAACCTGCGGTGAACCCCGGTAATAATGAATTAAAGATTAAGCGGAGAGCGCTGGGAGGAAAACTGGAAGAAATCCACAAGGCAAACAGCATCAGGAGATGAAAGTGCTTTGAATCCAGTGCCAGACGGAGACGGGTGAACTCGAGTTCTCCAGCAGCACAGACACGGTGATGAACAAATGACTGGGGTAGAAACGGGGTAAATAATGCGCCGTGCATTTTACATATTTGCTTATTTGCATATTTACATTTGCTGAAAAATACATTTTATACGGCAACACTCTGATATACATCTAACTTCACAGAAACGGTCAAAAGAATTCCATTTCATTTGAGATATGAGATATAAATATGTGCTCACTATTACCTCGGGGCAGCAGGAAAGGAATGGCTTAATATAAATGTTGGAGTCATGAACTTTGAGGTCGTGGTCACCGAGCCCACGGGTCACACCGATTGTTGCCAGAACCCGCGCCTATGGAACAAAAAGCATGCGAACATTATCAGGAATTTTATACTCACTTCGTCATTACGCCAAGTCTGCAAATCACGGAGAAATGACAAAAACGTACAAACTTAACAGTTGACGAGCAGTTAGAAAATCATTTTAGTTGATACCTGAACTCTTTTTACTCCCTTTTCAGTTGCAAAATTACAGTTAAAATGTAACAAAAACAAACAATAAATAAAAAAACAACATTAGTGTTAAAGGGTTTAAAGATTAAAAAGGGAACTATTAGTGAAATGAAGATGTATAAATATGACGGCATGCATTTTTATGTTGGACTGACCAATGGAAACATTGAGCAATGAAAGCAGTGAGATCTGACAAGAGTTCAAATCTGTTTGTTTTTTTGGTAGAAGAAAAGAAGTAATGGTTTGGCATGAATCACTGAATTTACAATCTGAATAGTCTAATCCCTGACTTGGGCGCCGTTTAATAGTCTTGCTACTCTCTTCTAAATTCAGACATCTTTAACGTTTAAATCTAGGTTCAAAATTAACCTGATTTGAGTTTAAATGTCTATGAACTTTTTAGATGTCCAAACCAAAAAATAGGCTCAGTGTGCTAAAGTAGGGTCTATTATTTGGTACAAAACCATTAGATGCAAGTTTAAATAAAGTCTATGACCAACTGATGTAACTAAACCTTGGACAGTAGTCTCTCGCTACTTCACGGTTCAACTTCTGGGGACTCGCTCTATCACGGTTTGTGGACGTACAGCCCATAATGTTGTACACAAAAAAATGTACAGGACACGTGATTGTCAACTTTGTTGTTACTCATGTGATTGGGACAGTAGTGTACAGTAAAAAGTTCACGAAAAAAAATAACTCAGACAGGCGCAGCCATTTTATAGTTTTCTCTCAGTAAACCTCCACTGTATTCCTGCTCACGACGACTACATTTCCCAGAAGGCAACAGGGCCCTGCTCAGAAGCCCCGTTTCCTTCTGTTGGGAAAAAAAAACAGGTAAATTTTTAATCTAATCGGTGCCCCCGAGCAGAACCAGACCTCTAGACCCATCAGTGAATCTTGAGAGCCGGCCCACGTGGACCTCCGAGCAAACACGCGTGGCTGAAGGTCCGACGCTCCATCTGAAGCTTAACGGGACTTTTTTCATCTTTCAACTGACCAACAACGAGCCATCAGTGGGCTCAACTGTACGTTTTTCATCTGTTTCAACCGGCCGACGACGACGACCTCCGAGCAGGGACACGCTGGTAAATAACATTTAGTAGCTACGTGTAAGTATGTTGTTAAAATTAGTAGATTTAAAAGTTGAGAACATTTATTGTGGGCTTTGGTGCTGCAGGTTAGGTCTGCAGAAACGGAACGGAGTCGGACCGGAAACGAACCGAGCCGCTGCCGTTCTGCAGAGCCCGGTAAGTTAAATTTAGTAGCTACATGTACTGTATGCATGTTGTTAAAATGACGTAGGTGTATGAGTTTAGAACATTGCAAGAATGTGGGAAGGGTTTATAAAGCCTTAATATATATATTTAAATACTAAAATAAATATAACGTTGCTACTTCGCAGAATTTCACTTACTGCGGGCAGGTTCGGAACCGAACCCCTGCAATAAACGAGGGACTACTGTATTTAAAAAAATATTCTGACCTTTACTGAAATGACAAATCTGGTTGAAGCACTATTCTTTTTATACTGGATGTCTTTTACCAGAGGCAAAACAAATCCCTTTATGTTTCTAAATTTCTCTCTTCACTGATAATTACTAAAGACAAATTAATTTCACTTTACTGTTAACACATACAAGTTGTATGAGATGAGTTTTGCCCCACAAACGCACCTTTTTCCCTTCACCGTATATAAGAGGAAACTTCAGATCTTCATCTTCGATAGTCTTGTATGCCCTAAGTGTTAAAAAAGTGGAACAAAACAGTGAGCTTTTGTTTTTCTCCTAACCCTTTATAACCTCAAGTTTTTATATAAAATTCAAATGTAAGACATGCTAACGCTAACACAACTAGCTGATAAACATAACGAAGCTGCTAATGCTAAAATACAATTTACTATGTCTTTTAAACAAAGGAGCAACAATCCTTTTCTAAAATAATCCACCCTAAAAAAAATTTAACTGGACACACGATATTAAGACGTTAGAAGGAAAAAAACAAGACGACTAAATTAAAATCAATGTTCGTAACTAGCAACTAAACATAGGAGAGCCGCGCTAAGTGACTTTAGCAAACAAACATGGCTATAACTGCACATTTTATGGACACTGAGCTGAAATCTAGTGTGGTAGTTGCTGAGAGTCGTCCCCATCATATTCAAGCATATTCAAGCTTCTCTCACCATCCACTCATGGTGAAGTCTCTGTAGAGCATCTTCTTGCCCACCTCCTTCCTTTGAACCCTGCGGGGGAATTCCAGGTGCGTGAACTCGTTCCCCAACAGGTGAGGCTGCATGTACCCCTGGATGACAGACAAAGATTAACACTAAAGAGCCCGCTGCTTTGGGTTTGTCGTATTATTGCTGTTCTTTGAAGACCAACCCAAGATATTTCATATGATTTGAAACACAAATTTGTTGATAAAATATGTGATCATATCTGGTGACGACGGCATGATTGTTTGAATCAAAGCATTCAGAGCCGTTTTACCAGGAACTGGAGTCGCTGTCGCTCCGACTCGGGGGTGAACTCTGCCGACATGGGTATGATCTCGTTGCTTCTGATGATGATGGCCCTGCAGACACACACAATGTGAAGTTAAACGTTAACGTAAAATGAAAACGCACAACTCTCCTCGTCTCTGGCCCTCAGGTTTACCTGCTGTCTCCTGCATTCCCAACATACAGCTTCCCCAGCAGGTAAACCACAGTGAGAGACGTGCATCCTCCAGTGATGTTATAAACTTGCTTCTCCCTCTCGATCTGGGCATCCTGAGAAAAGAGGAGACTGTTAACATAAAATTTCATCCAGGTTTAAAGCTCACACTGAGAGGCAGGAGATCAGATAAAGTCTGAAACTTTAGTTACCCGATAACTTTTAAGAAGCAACTGCAACGAAGGAGAAGAGGAGTAAAATTTAAAACGGGAAGAGAGCGGGCAACTGGACTTCTCTTCATGATTTTTGAATGTGATCTTATAAAACACAAATCTGAGAGACAAGGATTGCCCTGTCCTGGATGAATCTACACCAGCATAATGGGAGAAAATGTGAGCATCTTTTTAAACCATTTATTGGTTTTTACCTAAACCTCAGCTGAAAACTAAAAAAATGATTCCACAATGCGCATCAGCTGCTTTCTGTTTCTGGCATTACGCAGCAGGTCGATCAAAGGAACCCTGCAGACACAAGTTCCTTGAGGAGGAAGTTTCTCCCTGCAGCCTTCAAATGGCAGACATTTTTCCTGATAACTGCTTTAAATTATGCATAGATGATCTTTAATAATAGAGGACGATAAAAAAAATCTGTCTAAGCTGAGCTTGAACTGTGCTCTACTGCCATCTAGTGGCAATATCTCAAAAACATGAAAAATCTCTTCACAAAATAAATTTAAATACCAGCACTATTATGGTGTGGGGAAGACACTTTTGATTTGGTATCAGCTAAAAAGTTTGGAATGCATTTTAAAGTAATTTGACCTGATATCTATCATTAAAAACTCTCTTGGAGAGCTTTACCAAAAAAAAGAAGAAGAGCTAAAGAGAGAGCATTTTTCTGTAACAGTGACTTTGACATTTTCGGGACTCTGCTGTACTTTGATAAAGAATGAACTGAAAAAAAAAGAATGGAAGCGAAAATAAGCAAAACAATAGCAATAAGCTAAAAGCTAAATGAACAAAACCATAGCTAAAAGCTAAATTAAGCAAAACAGCAGCTTCATTAATAAAACAGATATGAAAAGCTACACTGAACAAAACCATGGCTAAAAATTAAATGTAGCAAAATTGTAGCTACATTTTACAAAACCACAGCTAAAAGATAAGTTTGTAAAAAAAAAAAATCCATGCTAAAGTCAGCAAAACTGTAACTAAAATTTAAAATGAGCCAAACAGTAGCTAAAAGTTAAAATTAGCAAAGTTGTTGCTAAAAGCTTAAATGAACAAAACGGTTGCCAAAAGTGAAATAGTGGCTAAAATTAACAAAAGCTAAAAAATTTTAAAGAACTGTAGCCAAAAGTTAAATGTATTAAAATTATAGCTGGAAGCTAAATGTTACAAAACTATAGCTAAAAGCAACAATTAGAAAACTACAATTAGCAAAACAGTAGCTAAAAGCTAAAATTATCAAAATGGTACCTAAAAGCAACTAAAGAGTAGCATGTGAAGACGAAAACAGATGTGAATGCCAACTCAGAACCCACTTAATGAAAAATAAGCTGAAGCCACATCTCATTTTCAGAGAAGAACATCTGCTTGCTGCAGCTCCAGATGTCACAAACAGAATTCATCTAAAGTTTTTTTAATCTAATTTTCAGACTTGAGTTCTTGTCGCCTGCCGCTCACCATCTCTTTGAAAGCGTTCTCTATCGCTCCGATCACCAGGCTCTCATGTTGGATCTTCTTCTCAGTGTAGAAGCGTGGCGGTGGCGGCGTGTTGGACGGGGAGCTCGGGGCCCCCGAGGCCCCACGTAGCGAAGCTGCTCGGGTCAGGGCCCGGTGAGGTCCTGGGGCATTCCCCTGCAGATAAGGGCTGTTATCGGGCTCCTCCCCCATCACGGTGGGGGGTAGGGAGTGGAGGTTGCGCAGGATCTCGATGACGGTCTGAAGCTGGCAGGCGATGTGGTGCTGAAGCAGCCGGGAGGCGACGACTGCGGCTCCAGAGCCGGCATGACCATCGAACAGAGCCCAGTAGTGGAAAACGAGCCCTTCACTGTCCTGAAATAGAAAGATCACATTTACTTAGTCATTACAATCAGTTGTGTTTATCAGTGAGTTTCACCTAAAAATACAGTTGAACACGTCAAACTTAAAACCATTTGTTTCAAAGCGTGGTCCTTGAAAGTCTTTATTTCGAAGGACTACTGAGACGTATCCGTTTGCCTTCCTTTACACCATAAAACATTCTGTAACAGCTTTTATGTGAGAATAGGGGTAGTGCTAAAAAGTGAGAGGAAAAGGGACAAAAATGGGATTTGTCCTTCATAATATACATTTTGGTTGAACAGGGGTGAATCTTTAAGCACAACACCGGCAGAACACAAAGAAAAATTTTGCAAAATGTGTAGATCTGTTGCGAATGATTTTCAGCTTCTACCACACCAAGTTTTAGCTCAATGTTTGTTAAAATAACTATTTAAAACAACAACTTAGCGTCTTGATAAATTGCTATCGGCATTTAGGCACGCACACAAAACTCGACTAGGAAAACGAAACCATCTCCCACATACAGAACAGTCCAACCTTTAACTGGAAAATAAATTACCCCCAACTATGATTAATGACTTTTAAATCTTAGCAGGTTTTTCCCACTTGTGAGTGAATCCTGAATCCTCGTTGACAGGTACTGAAGTGATGGAAGTAAAAATTGAGCAAAATGCAAGTCTCACAAGAAAAGAAATGAGCTCCACATCTGGGAAAGATCTTTAGAAATCATCCAGGGGTTTTATTATAACGTACCGTTTGGAGAACAATCTGACTTGGAAAAAGACATTTTAATTTGCGACTGAGTAATCAGAGAGGAGATACCCAGGAGAAAGCATCGTGACTCATGCTTTCCAGGGCTGCGTGGGAAGCGACGCGGTCGAATTTTACTTCACTCTCTCAAGTGAAAAGCTGTCATGTCCGCTTACCCAACTTCAACACATTTCTCAAATGGATTTTTTTATTTATAGGTCGGAAGCATTATTTTTGGGCTTTGAAGCAGAGAGTAACAGTTCAGTTTGTTTTAGATGCATGACAACTTAACAACTGATATCACAAAAGTTAGGCATTGGTTTCTTGACATTAGTTTCATGAAAAGCCGACGAATATTTGCCACATTTGGAAAACAGTGTAGCTAACAGCTCGACGCAGCTACTATATGTTAGTCTCACAGTTTCCTTGACTGAAGGCCATTTTGTTGACACGTCCAACAAACACCAATGGAAGATGTTGGTGTCATGTCTGAGTTATCCACCTGGAGCTTTTCTGTAAAATGTGGCTAAAACAAATTAACCAACAATAAATGTGTTGTTTACACCTGCAGCAAACAGGAAGACATGTTCACAAAGCATTATGGGTAAGGCTTCAGGTGTCAATATATAGTTGTATCAGTTTAAGCTAAATAGATGAGGTGTTTCACACATTTTGCAAAGACCATTTGCTACAAATTTAATGTCCTTAATGTAAAACCGCTAAACACCATCCATTCATCCACCCACGTTTTTGTGGTCGAATTGTGGAGGTCACATGCCCAAGACAAAAAAAAATCCAGACGTCCATTTCCTGGGTGATCCTACATCCTGTCCAGAGAGGACATGTCATCTGCCTCCAGCAAGTTTTAGGTCTTCCTCAGCATCTCATTAGTGAGACATGCCCGGAAAACCTACAGGCATTTAGGAGACGACCTAATTAGATGTCTGAACCACCTCAGCTGGATGCAGAGGAGCAGGGGCATTAACATAAGACAGAACTTTATTGATCCCACAGGAAACGCCCCAAGCTTACACCAAATGATTAATCTCACTCTATCCTGGCTGCCCTACCAAGGAACCTCATTTCAGCTGCTTGTATCCAAGATCTCGATTTTGTTGTCATGATATATATCTCATTTGGAACACTGACAGACCAGTAAATAAAGATCTTTGCCTATTGGCCGAGCTCCTTCTATAGACAGACTCCTTTCTCCAGTTGAGGACCATGGCCTCAAACTTAGAAGAGCTGACTCTCATCCCAGCCACTTCACACTGAGCTGCAAATCACCACAACACATGTGGATGATCACGACTTGAAGAGGACAACAAAATCACATCAGCAAAATGCTGAGATGTGACAAAGGTTCTCAAACCAGACACCCACCTCTCCATGACTGTGCCTTGAGTTTATGACGTCCATGAACGCCACACACAGGATCGAAAACAAGGGGCAGCCCAGGCAACTAGCGTTACTTTGCCTAGAATGTGAACACAGCTCTTGCTTTTGAAACACAGCAGTGAAGAATACCTATGGGACAGATCTGGTTGGCAGGCCGTAGACTGAGGAAGTCCTCTGGATGGGGGACGAAACGTTTCTCACTTAAACTGGTTCGGATGACACGATTTAACCTTTTTTGTTGTTATCCCCCTGGATGATACTCTTGCTTTTGTCATACAAGGACCGGATAGCCTTTAAAAGGAACAGGAGTAGCAGTCCAGCCTTCATCCTGGTTGTGTCCTTGTAAAGTTTCTAAAAAGGCCGTGGAGTCTGACTGCCCAGTGTAGATGTTTTATGGATCTGGAGAAAGCGTACAAGCATGTTTTCTAGTCCACTGAAGGTAAATAAATGTTTGTGTTCTTACCTCTCCCAATCTGTTGTGCTCCAGCCGAACCCCCAGGCCTTCTCCATTGGGTAAGGAGTTGCGTCTCTTGGCCGTGGGGGTCTTGCTGGGCGTGGAGGGCGGGCAGTAGCTCATGGGTCTCCTTCTAGCCACAACCACTTCACAGCAGGCCTGGTCCTCATTCAGTGCACTTTTACCAGCATTGATCACCCTGTAAGAAGAACACACGGTCAGGAATTTCAGCACTGCCTGTTTTGACCGGTTCCAGCCCAGACGGCTAACCAGAAAGTTCCAGGATGTAGTCAGAGCCACAACATCTACATTTACCATCTAGTAACTTTTGAAGTCCACTTTCAGTAGTGACAAAGAGGCGGCAGAGGATGGAGGCACAAAGTGATAAAAAGCTGACGGTGTAATGATTGGGTTGTTGTCATTCAAGCATCCAACAAATATGGAGTCATTTTAAGTGGTTTAGCTTTTTAAATCCATTTTTTTCTTTGTAGTTATTCAACGTCACAATAGAAATGTGTACAATGTGTTTTGCTACCAATGTGGTTAATAATAAAATGCTATCAAACAAGAACTGTGTTAGAGGCCATACAATGAGTAGGCTCAGAGTTACTACATTTGATATACATTTGTCTCGTCATGTTTCTCAAATTTAAAATTTAACCTGGATCTTTACTAGCTTAACTAAACGTGCTAAAGCTAACCACTCACAAAGGTTATTACAGTTGTTGGATAACAGCTAAAAAAAGCTGGTGTGTTTGGGTTAATAAGGGGTGAAAAAAACGAGTAGTTTGTCTGACGGACGTATCTGGAGGCTGTTGTCGACTGCGATTGTGTGAAAGACATCGACAGCTTTATTTATAGACACAAGCTGTGGGCTGTTGTCTGCTCGGCACCATTTGGTGCTCACTTTTAGATTCTGTCAACGTCAGATACAGGAAGTGATAGATAAAAACGGGGTCATAGAAATCTTAGAGACAAGATGCGGTTTGCATGTTCCATTTTTATACTTCTCTTAACATCTTTGTTTTTAAGTTTGTGTTAAGAATGTTCTTTTAATGGCAAAAACACACTTTAGAATTGGTTTTTTTATGTATATGTTACAATAGAGTAAAAAAAGTCATGTTCGTGGCTTGACTTTACCACAGTGACTCAGCTTCGCTCTCAAAACAGCAAAATAATTTTAAAAAATCCCCCCGAGCTATGATGCTAATTGAAAACGAGCTTTTATTTTTTTTCTACAGCTCTTTGCTTGAGTGTGTTTGTGGTGGTAGGAAGCAGCATACATAATGTTCAGTAAATACAGGGGGGAAAAGTCAATTTGCGAAATTGAACCCTGCATGTAAAACAATTATTGCAAAACAATCATCCCCTGTGTGCAATGCACATAATTCAATAATCCTAATGAACTGCACAAAAGGCTGCAGCTGGTGTTTTTGTTTGCATCTGATTGGAAGTACTCCTCCAACTCGGTCGTCCTCGTTTCACCGTTTGCGGGAAAGATGACTTCCTTTCCCTGCCAGTCAAATCTGCGTTTCATTTACAGCAACTAGCTTTCCGCTCATTAAGATTAAAATGTCGTGTTCCCCTTTTATTGTCAGGAACCTAAAGATATGCCTGTGATTTCACTTTAATTCACCGTACAGAGCTGCAGATGGCTACCATTAGTATTTGGTTTTATTTTATGCACATTAGCTTGTGGATTTTGTAGCCAACTTTAATATTAATGTTTGATTCATATACTATTGAACACCCACATTTTGTCAGATTTTTCAAAGCTTAGTTGCTTGACAGTTATGGGCTGAAAACAAACAAAAAAATGAGCTAGAAAATTTTGCATTTCTTCCAAAAGTTTTGCAGAAATGTGTAGAAGACGTTCAAACTGAATTGGTAAAATTAAAACCAGCAAAACAAAATCTAAAATTTAGCAAAATAGAAGCCAAAAGCTAACAAAAAACAGTAGCTAAAGCTAAAACGAGCAAAGCCTTTATTAAAAGTTAAAATTATTAAAACTATAGCTATAAGTTGCATTTAGCTGAATAATAGCTAAAAGCTAAAATTAACAAAATGACAGCTAAAAGTGGCAGAATGTTATTTAAAAAGGTAAAGGTAAATAAAAAAAAAGAGAACAAGTATGTTAAAACATTAAGAAAGACTTTACCGGTAAATATTTTAGAAAAGTAATAAAAACTTCATATACTAAAACTCCTGAATGAGCCGACTCCTTTGTGAATATCTAAATTAGCACAAACTATGCAAACATAATTGGAGGGCAAATAAAATAAATTGGATCACACAGAAGCTACAAACAGAAGAACCGTTTTATAAATCCACCATCCTCTCCTAATTTTAAAATTTGGCGTTACTGCACCTCAGAAAAGTTCCTATCTGTCAATCTCTGCTCGGTATCTCTAATCACCATGAAAGACAGGTGATAGTAAGAACTACCACAAAAAATAACTATAATTCAGTCAGTTACAGATATTTATCTATGATTTGGTATGATTGAAGTAGAGACTCGGCCCTAACGCACTCTGAGCACTAACGGATCACAAGTCGTGCTTGACTTTTATGGGACCATGCATCCCTTTAAGAAAAGCTATTTTAATACTTTTTTTAGTGTTGCAGTTTAACTTTTAACACTATGCTGATTTTTTTTTTTTCATAATTCCTTAAATATTTTGCAAGCTATTATTATTCATCTTTATCAACTTTTAGTTTTCACAGTTAATTGTAAAGTCAAGAACCTCCCAACCTGAAATTGTTTTACAGTTACAGCATTATTAACTGTGAAATTTGATTTAGAGACTTTTGATTCAAAGCAACAACAACAACAACAACAACAACAACAACAACAACAACAACAACAACAACAACAACAACAACAACAA